AACCTTATCAATGGATTAATCCTCTGGTRTGGATTAATTGGGTGATAACTGTAGGCTGGAGGACCTAGGTCACTGGAGGTGTACCATTAGGATTCATATTTTGTCCCTGTGAGGAGCTCTGGCTCTGTTCTGGTTGCCATGTCCTGAGCTACTTTCCTCCACCACATCCTTCCACCATGATGTCCTGCTTTATCTCAGGCCCAGAACAATGGGGTCGGCCATCTCTGGACTGAGACCTCTGAAACTTTAGTCCCAAGTAAACGTTTCTTCCTTTCCATTGTTCTTCTCAGGTCTTTGGTCACAGAGATGCACAAGCTGACTAAAACAAACACAAAAGGTGTTGGAAAAAATTTTAAAAACTACAAAAAACAAATATACCATGTTTATAAATCCAAAGAGTATCATTAGATGTTGGTTACTCCTAAATTAATAGATTCAACACTTGCACAATAAAAATTCCATGAGAATTGTTTGTAGCTTTTTATAGTTTATTCTAAAATTACAGGAAAATGGAAAAGGCCTACAAAACTAAAATAAACTTGAAAAAGAAAAACAAAGTTACCTAACATACTTCCTCAAAACTAAAATCATCAGAACAGTGGAGGTTGGTATAAGAATTGACCGGGGATCAGCACATTTATTTTTTTTGTAAAGGGAAAGATAGTAAATATTTTAGTGTTTGCAGTCATATGGTATCCGTCACAACTTTCAGCTCTGCTGTTCTCATGTGACAGCAGCTAGACAACACATAAATAGACATGGCTATGTTCCAATGTACCCTTATTTACACAAAAGATGGGTGCAGGATTTGGTACCAAGGACAAAGTAATAACACAGACTAGAAAATCTGGAAATAGTCTCACACTTATAAGGATAGTTTTTAACAGAGGGTGAATAATTCAGTGAACAAAAATATATTTATTCAACAAGTAGTGCTGGAACAACTGGATAGCTCTAGAAATAGTGACCCTCTATCTCAAACCTTGCAGAAAAATTAAATTGAATTGGACCACACACCTAATTGTAACAGCAAAAACTAAAGTGCTGCTTGAGAATTGAGAATAACATTGTTTTCTAGGAATAATTCTCAGGGTACATAAAGCATTAGCCTTAACAAAAAAATTGCTAAAATAGGCTTCATGAAAAATAAAAATGCCTGCTAATTATAAAATATTTTTAAACATACTAAAAAGTCCCAGACTGGGAAAAATAGTTGCATTATGTATATCTGAAAAAAAGGTTTTTATTTACAATACATAAAGAACTTCAAAAGAAAGTTTTAAAGAAGCATATAAAAATGGGATGCAGTCTTAAGCAGAAAATTCATACAAAGACACATGAATGGCCATTAAGTACGTGAAAAGAAGTCTACATTTTTGGGGAAATGGCATGTTTTGATTTCTAGGTTGGAGAGTCATATCATGATAGGAAGAGGCTTGACTTCAGTCTTGTCTTTATTTGGAATTAACTGTGGTTTAAAGAGTATTGGGCAGCAAGTTGAGAAGGAATAGATTGCATTGCTTTGAAAGTGTCATCTCATCTGGGCTGCACATTTCCCAAATCTTCTTCTCTTTAAGTTTCTGGTTAGGGTGGCATCAAGCTTTGGTTTGTTATGGAAGGCTGGTGCAGGGGTACCAGGATGCTCAGCATGTTGTTGCTTCCTTGTTGGCATCTCATTGGCATGAGCCAGCAACTGGCCTTGAAGCTGATCCTTCCACACTTGGTAACCTCTTCAGCTGCTCTGATGATTGTGTGTTTATCACCATGATAATGGGAACCAACTTCTCTTGCAGAACACTCGTATCATAAAACTTACAGGTACAGAAAGAGATAAATAGGGTTCTGGTTTGTTCTCAGGAGTTTAGCTCAGGCTTTCTTGGTTCTACCCTGTCCTGTAGATTTCAAGCTCAGCATGAGACAGAAAATAAAAATAAAGTTCCATAAGATAATCTTTACAGAGATAATTTAAAATAGAATTAAAAATGTGTTTGTTAAAGTGAACTATCTATGCCTCTGTTTTTATTTATCTGTATCTGTACATACATTTGTGAAATCATGTTAGTAAATATGTTAATCTTCACAGTCCTGTGATCTCTATTACTATTCATCTCAGCTGTTGTCATGTGAAAGCAGCTACAGACAATAGGTAAGTGGGCACATCTATCCATCTAATCTATATGTATCTGTATCTACATAGTCATCTATGTAATCTTCTGGAGGTACAATTTCTCTAAATGTACCTGGTAGCTACAAATTCATTACATTAAGGGGATGCTGGACTTTCTGTAGTTTGCTAAGGAAACCTTTCTCACATAAGCTATGTCCTGGAAGGTCTTTTCCAGAGCCTACTTCAGGCACTGCTGCTGCTACTGAGGCTATTTCCACCTACAGAAGCCAACAAAGAAGTAGATGAGGTTGTCACCAGTGTTAATACCATATAGGAATAAAGCAATTCTCTCAGAATTATGGCTCATCTGAATGAGGATGCCTGCAGGCAGGACTCAGAGGAGTAAGACCAKCATTGATAGCCTGATGGTCACATACAGCCTGGTCAGCTGTATCTTTGGGGAACCACAGAGGATCCTGACCAGCAGTGCCAGCCTACATGCATAGATAACCACAAATAAAGAGATCAGCCACACAAGCAGGAAAGAAATTTAATCTCTGGCATGGATAATATCTAAACTGAAAGCCACATAGTTGTGTTCCAGGATGCTCAGCAGCAGAGAAAGGACCCAGAGCAGGGCACACATGACAGCTGATATGTATCTGGGTCAACAATAGTACTAGATGGGCCACAGGACTGACAGACAGCACTCAGTGCCAATAGTGCTAGCATGCTGAGTCCATAAAGCAAAAAATACTTCAATGCTGAAACTGAAAAAGACAATAGAAAGAGCATCAAGTTTTTCTTCATTAAGAATTCTAGCTGTTGTGTAAATCATGTATATGTATATATATGTATATTATATATTATATATAATTTTAAGTTTATTGATACATAAGTTATGAACAGAAAAATTCATCTTTATAGATGTTTTGACCAGCACATGCAGTCTAGATGACTGCCACTACCATCAAGGTATAAAATATTTCCATCACTTTGAAAGTTCCCTCATGCCCTCACAGAGTCAATCCCAGTTTTTTATCCTCTCTGCTGAAAACCATTGATGCTTTCCACCACCATGGATTTTTCACTTTGTGAATGTCGTATAGGAATAGAGTCATCTTCTGTCATTTAGCAACATGCTTTTGAGATGTTGTTTTGTGTACCAGTTTTTTAATCAATCAGTAGTGTTCCATTACATGGATATACTCTATTTTGATGATTACCCAGTTTATGGTCATGAGGGCTATTTCTAGTTGATGGTTATTATAAATGAATATATCATAAATTTTCACAAGTAAGTCTTTGTATAGATATATATTTTTTACTTCTTTGAGAAAATACCAAAATGAAATTGCCAAGTCATATGTTACCATGGGTTTACATTTATAAGAAACTGTCAAATACTTTTTTTCCAAAAGGATCTACTATTTTCATACCCCTAGCAATGTCTCATAGTTTCAAATTTTCCACATCCTCATTTGTGAAAATATCTTTTACTTACAATAAATTTGCAATGTTTTTCTATTCAGTGTTCAATTTCTTTCCTTTTATTTATTAGATATAATTTGCTCTCAACTGCACATGGAACATTCCCCAGAATTGATTATGCTAGGCCACATAAGAGTCATAACAATTTTTAAAAGTAAAAATCATATCAGGCATGCTTTCAGACCACAATGGAATGAAACAAAATCAAGAAGAGAAGGAATTCTTGAAACTGTATAAACACATGGAAATTAAACAGCATGTTCCTGAATATCCAATGAGTCAATGATCAAAGTAAAGGAAAAATTTTTTCTAAAGAAAAATGAAAATGGAAATGCAACACATAAAGAGTTAGGTAATAGGTGGAGATATAGTTGGAGATATAGCTTAGTTGGTAAAGTGCTTGCCTTACATGCATAAGGCCCTGGGTTCAATCCCCAGCACGAAACACACACACACACACACACACACACACACACACACACACACACACGGAATAGGCAAAAAGGAACATTAAGTGGAAAGTTTACAGCAATAAAGACCTACATCAAAATGTAGAAATATCTAAAGTAAAGAACATAATTGGGCATCTGAAGGAACTATAAAACAAGAAGAAACTATCCAAAATTAGTTGTTAACCAATATCCATAGCAGCATAAGTCTTAATTGACAAAACTTGGAAACAACAAAATGTACTTCAACTGTGGAACACAGGTACAACGAAGTTTTATACTTTGTTTTCCTCATTTTTATTGGTGCCTTACACTTGTACTTATTGATGAGATTTGTTGTTACATGTTTGTACATGCACACAACATAACAGTATAATTTTGCCCAACATTCTCCTCCGATCTCCCACTCCTTAGACCCTTTGATTTGTAGGAGATCCACCCCCACCTTGTTTTCTTTTTCCTCCTTTAATTTGAAAACCTAACACACCTGCCAAGATTAAAGAACACTGTTCTTTTGTAGGCTAGATTGAAATTTAATTATTCTAGTTTTAATGAGACATAAATTGTAGGGAACAGAAAAAGAAACACCCAAAACATAACATTCTTTTATTCTCTATCAAGTTCAGTGACCAAAGAAATTTAAACAGTTCCTAGATTAGCTTCTGCCTTCTGCTGGAGGAGGAACTACTCAAAAGTGAGAACAGTCCTGGACCCTAGAACTACAAAACTCACATGGGGATGAGATGATGCCTCAGAGTGAGTTCCAATGACACTGCAACATTCTCTGTGTGACAGACCCTGTCTTGGTCCTCACAAGGATGATTATTATCTTAAGTATTTGGGAGATCAGGGGCATGACAGAGAAAGAGACTGTGAAAAAGGGCCTTTCAAAGTCATGTCTATCTGATAAGGCAGAGGCTCTCAACTGCTACATGATGCTACTTCCTGACTCTCTAGGGATTGCTGAGGTCAGCTGTAGGAGTGTCCTTCAGAGCCCTCTGGAGAATCAGCTTGAGGGACTGCCTCTGCCGCTGCCTAAAGGAGCCAACAAAAAAGTAAATGATGGGGTTGGCAGAGCTATTAACACAGGACATGACAAGGGCCACCAGGAGAAACCTACAAGGTAATGAATTAATATCATTATAAAACCAATATAATAGGAACCAGAAAATGCCTAGGGGCACAGCAAGGAGGAAGAAGACTAGTGCAGTGATCAGGATGGTCACATAGAGCCTAGTTAGCAGCATTGGCCTGGAGCTACAGAGGATTCTGACTAACAGGACCAGGCTGGAACCAAGCAGAATCACAACCAAAATAATCAGCCATGCAACACAGATGAAATCAAATGCCTGACACCTATCAGTGTCAGAATCCCTCAACAAGAAACCACAATAGACCCCTTCCAGTATGCTCAGCAGCAAGGACAGAGCCCAGAGCACAGCACACATGATAGTTGACATGTGTCTTGGTCGATGGAAACGATACCAGATGGGGCACAAGATAGAAAGACAGCGCTCAGTGCTAATGGAGCTGAGCATGCTCACGCCTGCAATGTAATAAAAGATCATCACAGTGTTTAAGAACTCTGGGATGGCGACTGAGTTTGAATGAAAGAAGTTGATGAATGTCACCAGAGATCCTATAAGGTGGCAGCAGAGGAAGAAGAAGTCAGCTCCAGCCAGGTTGAGAATGTAGATGGAGAAGACATTCCTGCGTATACAGAAGCCCAGGAGCCAGATAACAACCGCATTTCCTGCCAGCCCAACAGAGGCAATGATGAAAGTCAGCAAACGCAGGATAAGTTTCTCCTTGCCACATTGTGGAGGAACAGCTGGGTCACTTCCATTCATTGTTGTAATTTCACTCCACAAGGCTGGAATGGTGGGATCCATACTCAAAATCCTTTCACTGGTGCCCCTGAGAACACAAACAAGATGTGAGCAGCAACTGCAGCAGGAGCTCTGATTCTCAATACCGACCTGCTAGGTGGAAACTACTCTTCCTGTTTCACAAAGAGTGAAACAGAAGCTTGCAGAGATTAAGTAATTCATCAAAGACTGGGAATTCCTACAGATTTGGCTTCAACTTCAGCTCTTGATGCAGCTTGCTGACCTAGCTTGAGACTGACTCTCTAGCACAAGACAGGTCCTCTCCTGACATGGGAAAATTCTGTGATCCCAACGTCCCCACTATTATCCTAGGCCACGTCATGACCACAGGAGGCAGGAGGAGAAAAGACAGGTACATCCACAGGACAGCAACAGAGCTCTGGGATGAGAAATCCTTCTGTACTAAGTCAGAACTTTACTCTCATGGATAAGAAAGTGGAAGCCTCAGACATGACGCATGGCCACCTTCAGTGACTGACAGAAGGAGAGAGAGGAAGTTATGATTCAAGATCACAAAGGGAATGTGACATCTTGCTGTAACAGGTGTGTGGATGGCCAGTCAACAGAGCAGAGACCTCAGCATACAGGAATCCCTCTGTGACTCTGAAAAGGTTCCCATTCATCCAGATTCTCCAAGACTCACACAGAACAGAAAGATCCTAATGGGAGATGGCAGGATCTTCAGAGCATCAAGGACTATATCCATCCTTCCCACGTTCTCATAGTTCCTATAGATCTGGATAATCTGAGGAGGTTATGATTGATCATGGCCTCTGGTGTCCTTCCTCATGACATATTGGACTTCTTATTTTTGGCACTGAACAGAGTGCCAAATTCACAATTTTGTTTTCAGAGTATAAGTCTTATTTCCCTCCTTTGGTGTCTCACATTATACTCAATGTTCTCTAAAACCTACACCTGCTTGGTTCTCAAGGTTGTCTTTATTGGTCACTATTATGTTTCTGATTACTAGTATAGGTCCTATATACATTTTTTATAATATTTTCATTATCACAGGAAGAATCTGAGACTAAATGAATGCAAAATATATTTTGAGATCACAGAATGAAGAGAAAATCCAAAAGAAATTCAAGTCTCCTGGAACACTGTTCCAGATTTTACTTTTGTTCTCTGTCTCATGTTAATGGGCAGTGAGAAAGAATCAGGGATGTGGAAGCCACAAATGGAGCCAAACATCCATACTCCTCCTTTCTCACATAACAATACTGAGAGTGATAGACCAGAACAAAGACTGTAGTCCAAGCCTCTCTCACTGTTGAAAGCAACATATCACTGAGCATTGGTAAATGGGACGTGGGCAGAAGTGATGTAAGAAACTCCTGGGTTCTGCCATTCCTTCCCTTTTCCCTCCAGGATGGAATGATGATGTATTTGAAGGCCATGAAGGACCATGAGGATGAGGGCACCTCTCTAGACAGAGGGAAGTAGATATTGCAGGGTAACGTGGTGCCTGCCATAATGGAGCTGCCAGTTCTGGGTCTGATCAATACCCTCTTGTTAAATTACTACTCTAACTGGTTCCTCTTTGCTGTATCAAATATCATAGCTTAAAATACTTAGAAACACGTTTCTTCACTATATACCATTCCCAATTCATTTATGATGGTAGTGAGATATTACTTAAAAGATAGCCACCATAGAGGGATATACAAATAAACATTCAGACAAACTTGGAGGAGATAAATGTGAAAATGTATCTATCACTTTGTGAAGGAAAAATTCCCCCCAAAGTGCAAAGTGTGAAAGCCTATACAAAGAGATGGGTTATTTCTCATTTGTTGTCAGAATGCCATGTTCAACCTTTACTACCTCCTTGTGCATCCTAGGAGGAGACATTTCCATGCACCATTAATGGAATCCTTTTGCTCTCACTTCTGGTTGCATTTGCTCAAAAAGACGCATTGAAAGGGGATTGAACGGAAGGAGAAGAATAATTTGGTGATTTTTAATATCCTGGTTTTCTAGGCTAGGTGGTGAGTTGGCAGTGGCAGTGCTATTGTGTTCCTAAGGACACAGATTCTATGTAGTATATTTCCTGTGACCACATTAAAAAAAACAGCTATTTATTCAGCCATCTCTGAGTCCCAATGATTTCTCTTTCTGATTTTTCTTTTAAAACCTATTGACTTCAAGCTCCTTGATATTACTTTGTTGGTGGGAGTGGTGTGAGTCTCACCATCCCTTGCAACTTTTCCAAATTTGTCCATATTGATACATTTTCCTTTATTAGACTTCTCAATTATCTCATTTTAGGCCACCCGTTTTCTACAGAGATACTGAGAGACACATAAAACAAAGATTTTTAAACGAAGAAAAACAAGTGACAAATTTATTCACAGGATTTAGTTTTGGAAAAGCATATGTGTACCCTCATCTTACTTCTTTGGTTAAGGAAAGCAGAGGATTTCCCATTGTTACAGTGAATTTGGACAGTTGTAATGAATAGAGGAATTAGCAAATGTTGGAGAAACAAGGAAGGGTCCCTGTTTACAGCTTTCATTTCTCCCACAGTCAACTGCTAGCACCAAAGTTATAAAGAGGGAGCTTCATATCTCCTGACTTTCCCAGCTACAGTCCCAGTGGATCCCTTCATACACTTTGCCAAAGTGAAGTGGATTATTCCCCATTTGTATATGAACTAGAAGGGAAAAAAAAGAAAAATGATTTGAAAATAAGTTCTTGCTAAATTCTTACCTTTCTTTAATTCTCTTGCCAGCAGTCGCAAGTCGTGCTGAAGGGAAGAGCCTCCTGTACCTTTGACTGTCACTAAAAGACACTGCTCTGCCCTGGAGAAGTGACTGCAGAATCTGAGTGAGGCCTGTTGCTCCAGTGATCATCAAGATGCCAGAAAGCCCTGTGGCTTCCTGTACAGCCCTGCTGACAAATGGAAGTGTGGAGTCTGCTGAGTCATGTTCCTCACAAGATGCTTCTTGACATTTGGTCAAACTCTAATCCCACATCTCAATCTCTGCCCATCCTCACCCAATCAAGTCTCCTTCTGTGGAATTCATTTGGTTTGGGGACTTCTTGCTGCATACAGACCATAAATTCCAAGTAATGTGAGCTTAACATGAAAGGCTACATAACTAAAACTAAATCTCATTTTAATTACTTGCCATCTGAGGCCCTCCATGTCCTGGCCCACTCTTCTTCATTGTCATAGCAGTCACACGTGCTGGCTTACATGTTCTTTTTGAATACTGAAGTGCATCACACAGAGGGGACCATCTTTCTCAATCCTATTCTTCAGAATCAACATCTATGCTTAGCCATTCTTCTAAAGTTTTGTTAGTCATGGTTACAAATTTAAAGTAAACTTACATTTTGTATGTGTTATGTCAAGTTGTCACAGGCTTAGAGCCCAGTAAGGGGAACTCTTTAGGGTTGCCATGGTATTTTTACTACAGAAAAGTAGCTCACATTGTCTCCTTTCACTCCCAGAGGACAGTCTGGGGTAATGTAATACCATCTTGAGAAATAGTTCACACTGCCCTAGGAGACAGGAGACCCACATCCCCATCTCCGGGGTCACACAAACATTCTATCACACTACCGAAAGGGAATGTAGCCCCACAAATGCAACTGGACTCAGAAGTACAAATGTGACCCAGCACCCTAGCTTATGCAATGCCCTACATTATAGGGGAAAGTGCTTCAACACAGCAGGAGAGGTGCTCGCCTCCAGCACTGTAGAAGCCATGATGCTTACCCACTTTAGGTTTGGGGCGCCTTCTCCCCCCACCTCCTCCTGCCCGCCAACTCCTAGAGAATTGTAGGATTCCCCTGGGATATATATGTACCCACTGGGACTCCACAATGGCACTTCTGCAGCCCCATTACTGCAGTCTGCCCACAGGGACCTGCCTGCCATGGCCACAACAGAAATGACTACACCATACCCTCAAATCTGATGCCAGTGATTACAGAAGGAGACATTATAGGAAAAATGCATTGTGATGTCCAACTGGGACCTACATAAAAGTAGCCAACCAAGCCAGTGATTAAATTTGGATGCATTGACGAGGAATGGCTGAATTTCTGGACATACAACTTATCAAAATTGAATTTCAAGGGCTGGGGATGTGGCTCAAGTGGTAGCGCGCTCGCCTGGCATGCGTGCGGCCTGGGTTCGATCCTCAGCACCACATACAAAACAAAAGATGTTGTGTCCACCGAAAACTACAAAAATAAATATTAAAAAAAATTCTCTCTCTCTCTCGCTCTCTCTCTCTCTCTCTCTCTCTCTCTTTAAAAAAAATTGAATCTTCAAGACATAGAAAGTCTGAACAGAATTAAGGAGACTGAATCACTAATAACAAGTCTCCCAACAAAGAAAAGCCAGAATTAGGTGGCTTCATTGCTGAATTCCACCAGCTATTAAGGAAGAATACAAATTATTCACAAACACTTCAAAAAATTGGAAAGGAGGAAAGTCTTCAAACTTATTCTCTGATGTTAGTATTAACCACATACCAATATCAAACAAAAACAAAACATAGAAAAAATATAGTTCAATACCCCCGATGAACATAGATTCAAATTTTTCAAATACTAGCAAATTAAATCAAACAACAACAAAAAAAACATCCATCATTATCAAGTTGCATTTATCCAAGGAATGAAAGGATGGTTCAAAATTGCAATTCAATAAATGAACTATATATTAACAAAAGAATGAAGAATTATTTTAAAAAAAATTTGTAGTTGTAGATATACAAAATGCCTTTATGTGTTTATTTTTATATGGTGCTAAAGATTAAACCCAGGGCCTCACAAGGCTAGGCAAGGGCTCTGCCACTGAGCTATAGTCCCAGCCTCTGATAAATTTTTATAACTATCTCAACATATCAGGAGATTTGATCAACTTCAACAGCTCTTCATGATACAAACTCTGAATGAGTTAAGTGTAAGAGGAATGAGCCTCATGATAATTAGGACTACATGTATTAAAGTCACTGCAAACATCATTTTTAATGTAGAAAAAGCTGAAAGCATTTCCTCTAAAATCTGACACCAGCACTCTGCTCACTCTTATTCTATATGCTATTGGAAGTCTTACCCAGACAGAAATTAGGAAAAAGAAAGAAATTGAAAACATACAATTAGGAAGGCAGAAAATCAAATTGTACTTTTTTATGTGATATGATTTTATGCTGATAAACCTAAAGATTCCACCAAAAGACTATGATATTGTTATGGTGTAGGCATGAGGGGTCCCCAAAAAGATCCTGTGGGAGACAATGCAGGAATGTTCAGATATGAAATGATTAGTTTATGAGAACTGTAATATGAATAGTGGATTAATCCACTGATACGGATTAATTTGGATGGTAAAATATTTTGCCCCTGATGGACAGAGTTGCTCCCTGCTCCCTGGATGCAGTGAGTTGAGCAGCATTCCTCTGACACACTCTTCCACCATGATGTTCTGTCAGATCTTGGGCCCAGAGTTATGGAGTCAGCTGACCGTGAACAAAACCTCTGAAACCATGACCCAGAATAAACTTTTCCTCCTCTAAATTGTTCTTATTAGGTCTTTGGTCACAGTGATGAGAAATATGACTAAAACACAGGGCATGCATTTGAATTTCTGGAGCACAGAATTGTGTCTGAAACTTGGAAGATGTTCAGCATCTATGTTTCTCAAGAAGCTCCTGATTGAAAATCACACAGTTATGGGGCAGCTTGAAAAGAGTGGCTCATACATCTRGGTTCACTAGAGTCCTGCAGGCACCACCACTCAAAGGACCAGAGGATTCCCTCTGCAGCAGACCAACCTGAGGAAAGCCTTGCCTTTTGCCCTCATTTAGCCTTACTGGCTTCTCCTGGGGAGAAGAATGGAGGGAAGGAAAAAGCTTATCCAAGAATCACCTTTATTTCAATACCAGTGATGGATTTTCTTCTTAGTTACACCTTGAGGATATCTAGGAAGACAGAAAAGACATGAGAGTCCTTCGTAGCACATTTTGGGAGCTATCACTCTTGGCTGTTTATGCATTAAGTGAATATTTAAATCTAGTAGATCAATCACTCTGCTAATTCCATGCATAACGAACACCTGTTAAATAAATATCTGACTCTACATTCCATCTAGGAAACACACTGATTGATTCCTGGAAATGCTGAGTCCTCGTGGCCTTTCACTGAAATAAGTGTGCCTGTGCTCTACCTTAGGGCAGTGAGTCCTCTGCTTTAAAAGGACTCCATGGACCTGTTTCCAATTCTGCTTATGCCAGTTGAATTTGTCAATATTGCTGCCTATTTTATCATAACAGAATGTAAATCAAAAAAGTAAGAGTACAGTGAAAGCTAATGTAAATATTTAAAAAATTTAAAAGGTAGATTTAAAAATGTTTTAGTAAAATAGTTGCAAACCTGAAAACTATACTATGATGAATAAATTTATGAATAAAAAGAATACCCTGGTGCACACTACTCTCTCTAAAATGATAAGATCTCTGCTATAAATAATCTGAACTTCAACTTATAGAAAATGCTTGAGGAATGTGAGTCCTGAAAGATAGAGAGGCTAGAAATCTATTTGCTGAATTTTACTCAAAAAAAGTCATTCACTCCTCTTCATTTTTGATGAATTAATTCAGGTAAAAAATAAAACATTTGTGTTACAAATTTATCTTACAATCATTACATGTACATTCTCAACTAATCTGTAGAGCTATGGTACTCGATATGTCAGTAAGCGGGCTTCCTACTGCAATATCACTTAGTCAGTCTGTTTATTCTGTAAGTACTTATTTAGCATCCTCCATGTTCAAGCCCTCATGCCTGGCACTGCAGATACAAAGACAATGAACCCACCCTCAAGGAGTTCATAGTCCATGAAAGGAAGGAGTCTAGTGTAGTAAAGACTGCCACACAATGTGACACATGCAATCATAGAGATGTCTGGGGGTGTACAAGGGTGTTTACAGGAGGGGCTGATCTGACAGTTCTAACTTTTCTTTTTTTCCAAGATGAGGAGAATACCACACCACCCACCCTTCCAGATAGCATGACCACATGGTTCAGAGAACTGTGAGAATGTCCACTAGGTGATTCCTCATAATGGGAAACAACTTCAGCAAACAGTTTCCCACTGATGAAACATTAAAATTCATTATGTTGAATTTTCTAATGGCCTATTAGCATCTACCTGTAAATGAGAGGGGTGGCAGTGATGCTCTTTCTGGAAGATGGCATGGAATGTGTCGTGCATCAGTATCATTAATGCATAAATGGTGGCTATTATTATAAATGAGATTTGCTTTCTGGACTCCAGGAGATTACAGTGGAGTGTGGAAGAATAGGACCCTTACATATATCTCTCACATTGACAGTATTGACAAAAACAGAAAAGGGAGTAGAGAAGGGGGAGATCTCAGAGTATACATGTGGCTCTGAGTAGATAAAGTTTCTTCAAATACCTGGAATTTGAACAGATGACTCCAACTTACCACACAAGAAACCTATTATCAGTCCAATCATCTCCTTGAGGTGGCAAGGGAAACCCTGGGTCAGGATAGATGGAAATGGCAGAAGAAATTGATCATGTAGTTACTTCTGTGCCATCTGGAGTAAAAGTGTGCACATGAATGCATTACTACTGAAACATGAAAGAAATAAAAGAAAAGCCATCATTGAATGGCCTTATATTGTACTTTATTATTTGTTAGAAAGCCCCACAATGAAAACTTACATTGCTTGATATTCCTATCTATGTTCCAAAATAGCAGGGATTACTTATACTAATTACTAACAATGCTAGATGGAAAAATAAAGGCTCCAGAATAAAAGTACTGAGAATGAGGAGGACTGAGAGATGGTGAACTGTGAGTGAAAATGGGGTAGGTGCCAAGAAACACCTCAGGGTAGAATTGTGTCAACAGCTCTGAACTCTGAAGTTCTTGGAGTCCTGGTACAGAAAATTGCTGGGTGGTCTAACATCTTGATAGGTTCCCATGGCCACCAGCTTTCATTCCATTTCCCTTGTATACATTTCAGAAACTGAGGACAAGCAAGGGTCCTCTGGCATTTCTCAAAGTCAGAAAGGCTCTCCTCCCTCAAAACTGAACGATTCTTCACCTCCAAACAAAAGCATGGATGGAAGGCGTGGATAGACACCAAGAATTTTCTTATTCCCACTTATAGTCTTTAGTCTATGTTCACATGTCTGTGTTTCTACTTTGGGGTGCTACATGCAGGAAGTCATACTTATTTCTTAAGGAAAAAGCAAGGGACAGAAACCTCCCTCTGAAAACTGGGTGCTGGCAGCCTCAAAAGTGGGAGTTCTCAAAGGGGTCAACCAGATTATTCTGTATTCTGATGCATCCCCCCATATCCTGCCCTTTGTTCAAACCATTCAAATCTACTGTCATTGGTAGAATTCTGCCTCTTGAGTTCATTTAAGGGGCCAAGTGATATGCAGCATTTCATCCCAGAACTGAATGGCTGAAGATCCAGGTCTCATTGTTTCATTTGCTTTTTGAAGTTATTTGTTTTTATTATCCCAGGAAGAAAGCATTGACACAAATTGGAATTTTTGAAGAGCACGTCATGATAGAAGTATTTACAAAGATGGGCAGGTTAAGGAAAAGTGACAAGTGCATGGGAAACAGGGAAAGAACAAGGGAAGGAACACTGAGGAGACAGGGCATTGCAGAGGTGGGAGAGAGCATAGAGATGGACAGGCACTGCCTCTGCCAACACAGAGACTCAGAGAGCCAGGAGATGTAAAACCCAAGTTCCTTTCCTCCTGTCCTCTGCTCTCCTGGGTGGTGTCTTCTTGTGACTCTATTCAACCAGAAAGTTGGATGAAAATAAGTGACTCATAAGTGTCACAGACACCTTCCTCTTGATATGCCAAACCAAACAGAGAAGGAAGAAAGGAAAATTATTTTGACAAATGAGACTATCCCTCAAATCTCCTTCTCTCCTTCTATTTCCTGGAGTTTTCTCTACCTAATTCTCACTGAATTGTTTATGATGGTTGGAAATTAAAGGGCCACAATAGCAGTTACTTACAGAGAGGTAAACAAGAAAAGGCTGGGTGGGAGAGGCTAAACATGAGTGGCAATTGTGAAGATGCCCAGAAACACTTCTCTGAGGGTCACATCTTAAACTGCTCTGGTTTCCTGTTTGCCCACAATCCTTTACAGAAAATAAAAGGAACAGCTATTCAGCATCTTGATAAGTTTTGCTTATTTATTGCTTTTTACTTCAGTTCCTGTAAACATCTCCTGTTTTAGAAGAGAGAAGGGTTCTGTGGTGTCACTGAATCCCAGAAAGTCTCTCCCCTTCAGCACAGATCAACTTTCCTCCTGTGGCCAGAGAATGGAAAAAAAAGGTAAGGGTATTTTCTAAATGCTTTCCTGTTTCCAATGATTGCTAATATTTTTGTTCTGAGTTCATATCTCTATGTTTCTACCTTGTGATGCTACAAGCAGGGGGTCATGGGGTTCCTTCAGGGAAAAGCAGAACAGATGATGCTTCTTTGTTAACACTGGGTCCTGGCATCTTTGACTGAATGTTCTCAGAGAGTTTCTCCAAACCATTATCCCTTATGATTCATCTCCCTACATTTTCCCCTTTATTCTGGACATTCAAATCCATCATCACATGGAGTACACTGCTGGTTACATTCATTTGAGGACCACAGTAACATGCGGGAATTGCACTGAGAGCTTAGCTGCCATACACCCAGATTTTATTTTATTTTTGAGGGAGTGTGGAGGGTACTGGGAAGTGAAGTCAGGGATACTTGACCACTGTGGCACATCCACAGCCCTATTTTGTATTTTATTTAGAGACTCCAAAAGTGTGACTGAGTTGCTTTGCATCTTGCTTTTGCTGAGGTTGGCTTTGAACTCTCAATCCTCCTGCCTCAACCTCCTGAGTCACTGGGATTATAGGCATGTRCCAGGACACCCAGGTCCCAGGTTGTCATTATGTTACCTGCTTTTAAAAATTGTTCTTTTTTGCATATTTAAGAAGAAAAAAGCAACCCAAAAATTAAGTAATTGAGTATTTGTTTATTTGACTCTTTACAAAGATAGAGTTAAGAATAATTAACATGGTATAATAAAGTAGCTGGAGGCAAGCAAAAACAAAGCATTATAACCACCCCTACATTTATAGGGACAAGAGAGAGAGAAAGAACCACAGCTAATTGTACCAGTAGCAGTGGACAACCAAGCAGGAGGAGAAGCACTGCCATTGCAACTCACAACCTCACAGGCAAAGAGCCAGGAGTTGAAACGTTCAAATCCCTCTCTCTCAACCCCCACATGTTCCAACTGAGGTTCTCAGAGTGGAGGTAACAGAGCTTGTAGATTTCCTCCCATATCCCCTTATGGACAACCAAAGCTGTGGGAGCTTTTATATCTACAAGACCTCATGTTGGATGCATTCACTTCTGTTGCCTCTCTGCACACCAGAGAAGGGTGTGCTCTTTTTTGACTTGAGGGTCCATGTGAGTTCTCTGGCCTCCAAGACCCTGGCTTCCCTTGCAAGACAGAGGAGAGCTTCTATATTCTCATCTGTTCCTGACTAGCTTCCAAGCACCTCATTTTTGCCCTATTTCACTTGCTTTCCTTCTTCTCATTTCTGAAGTTTATTTATTCTTATATACACATTATAAGAATGTATATAATATTCCATTCTTATATACACAATATTTAAGGCCAACTTGGATTTAACTTGGGAATTACTCCTCTGCTTCCCACCCCCATGTAGATGTAATCAACAGCTCTGTGGTGCTGGGTCAGTAGGGCCAAAGAGTGGGCTCTGAGGGGGCACTACTGAGTTCATCCACAGTATTGGACCACAAGAAATAATTCATTTTCTCTGTGATCTAATTTTATCATATTTTTAGTAGAAATGATACAAATTCTCACTTCAGAGGTCTCTGAAAGAATTCAAAGAGAGAATACCTTATGACTTCTCCATCATCTATTATTATTCATTCAGGTTTGAGATAATTCACTTTCTCTAGATAAAATATATGCAAGCATCTTTCCATTCCAACCCTATAACTTTTGACTTCTCCTCATAGATTACCCTCACACAAGACTTCTACCTACAAAGCAAACTCTATTGTGAGAAAAAATGGAAAAGATTTATATTGGACACTTCACAGCCCAACAATTAATAGCTTTTCCTTTTTTAATGTTTTCATCCTTCAAAACCTTTTCTTGGCACTCAGACCTGAACCCCTCTTATTTCTCTGTCCTACAAATTGCTGGGCAATTCAGCTCAAACTCACATCCTAACCCCATAYTCTGCATCAAAATGTTACAAAGTACACAGCAAAGCCATTTTTGTTCCTTGCTTTTGTGGCCCATCAGTGGTCAACTCCTGTTGTTTGGATAAACATAAATAAGTCTTCTAAACACACTCAGTTGTCCACAAAAAAATAATAATGAATGATATTTTCCTCATCTAATTTTACCTTAATGTTTTAACTCCTTTAATTATATTTCATTGTTGTTTGTCCATTTAATCCAAGTCTTCTGTCACCATTAGTCTYCTTATTCATGCATCCATTCACTGAATAACCATTGTGAATACAGTGTATAGCACCAGATCTAGACAGGGGATATGCATAGTGTGGCTGTCCTCTGTGGCTGATACACTGAGCCATTTCTATGACACACTTAGCCATTTCTAGCCTATCAGGCCCAACCATCCTTACACCTGCCCTACCAAGAGGTCTCATTCCTTTAAAGTCCTGAAATCAGTCTTTTTTTCTCCTAAATACAGCACTGTTAGTCATGAGTGTGCTGTGGGATCATCTTTTCCTTTTTAAAAACCTGAACCTGAAGGAAAAATTCTGGCCCAGGAAAGGATTATGCCTTTGACCACAGTCCTTTCCTGGTATCTCAGATCCTATCCCAGACTTTTTCTGGAGACATGGCATGACCTCTGGCAGGAACAGGAGGGGTGCATGATCAGCTATAGAATATTCCTGTCAGTAGATGAACCTGTGCAGTAGCACCCAGCATAGCGTTTAGAGTCGACATGAATTGAGTTTGAGTCCAGAACCTCGGACTCCCTGGCCTTTTTAAAAATAATTTTTGCAACCATCTGTGTCCTCCTGTGTTAAGGGGAGCCTTAACACAGGGGCAGTAATTCCCACACAGCAGGGTGGTCCTGGGAATCAGGGGTTAYGCAGCAGGAACTCATGACTTCTTTATGTTCCTAGCAACTACTCTGGATATTTTCTGATACTAAATCCAACCACCCCAGCCGAGGGGACAGAATTCACCATGGTGAATGGAAGTAACCAGACTTTTCCTCAACCTGTCAACCTATGGACCTTGATCCCAGGCTTGCTGACTCTCATCATTGTGATGACTTGGCTGGCTGGAAAYGCAGTTGTGCTCTGGCTTCTGGGCTTCCACATGTGCAGGAACACCTTCTCAGTCTACATCCTCAACCTGGCGGGAACCGTCTTCCATTTTCTCTGTTTTCATGTTATAGCTTCTCTGCATGAACTCAGCCCCAATTTTGTTTCCATTTTCAACTTCATCATCAAGTACTCTACCATTGTGATGATGTGGTCCTACCTTACAAGTCTGAGCATACTCAGCGCTGTTAGTGCTGAGTGCTGCCTGTCCATCCTGTGTCCTGTCTGGTACCGCTGCCACCAACCRAGACACGTGTCAGCTATCATATGTGCCCTACTCTGGGCCCTGTCCCTGCTGATGAGCATCCTGAACAACAACCACTGTGACTCCCTTTTTATGGATTTAGACTTCTCATGGTGTCAGACATTTGATTTCATCAGAGCTGCATGGCTGATTTGTTTATTTATGGTTCTCTCTGGATCTAGCTTGGCCCTGCTCATCAGAATCCTCTGTGGCTCTCAGAGGGCACCGCTGACTAGGCTGTATTTGACCACTGGGCTCACAGTCCTGGTCTTCCTCTTCTGTGGCCTCCCTGTAGGCATCCTGGAGTTTCTGTTGCCTGGATTCATAAAAACCATATAAATCTGCATTTTGATAAGAGGACTGCTTTATTTCTGTATAGCATTAACAGCAGCACCAACCCTATCATTTACTTCTTCGTTGGTTCCTGTAGGCTGCGGCTGCATCAGCAGCACCAGCCACAGTCACTCAAGTTGGTTTTGGAGAAAGCCTTCAAGACATACCTGAGGTGGAGAAAAGTGGATAAAGTCCTCCTCAGGAAACTATGGAGAGTCCAATATCCTCCTAATATAGTGATTCTGCATCTTCAAGGGATCCTTAAAAGAAGTAGTACCTCTGGAGGATACATAGATGATTGTATAGAGTCCAAAATTGACATTCATATATATATATATAATATATATATATATATATATATATATATATATATATATATATATATATCATATATCATATATATGATATATATACCATTTTTAAACAATATATTTATTATTGTATAAAATATTCATAATAAAATTCATCATTTTAACCATTTTCATCTGCATAATTCATTGGTGTTAAATATTTTCACATTTAAGTACATTTTGAAGAGCAATAGTTTTTATATTTTATGAAGTCTAATTTATCAGTCTTTTAATTTTATGATTAGTGCATTATGTGCATCTAAAATTATAGATGTGCAGCASCATTTCTGGCTACTTACTATATTTCTCTTCTTTACTGATCAGTCTACTAGAATTTTATGAATATCATTACCATTTTGAAGTGCTACCTTATAGCTTTGACTTTTTTCTCTATTATTTGCTTTTCATTTCATTGACTTCTGTTTATTGTATCTTCCTATTTATCTGGGCTTGAAATTCTATTGAAGCTTAAATCTTTATGTTTAAAATTCTTTGCATTTTATAGAATTCACCAGTGCAGTCATTTAAACCTGAAGCTTTCTTTGTAAAATACATTTTAATTACAAATTTATTTTCCTTAGTTAATAGAGGATTACTTTTGCATTTTTGTTTATTCTTGATCAAGTTTGGTAAGCTGTATTTCTCAGAGCATACTTTTAAAAATTGCCAAATTTCATCAAAATCCTTCAAAACAGTTTTTTATTATTACTTTTATAATATTTGTAGTATACATTGTGATTGACTTTTTGTGATTCCTCCTTATACAGGTGAGAAAAGGAGCTGAGAGCTATTTCAATCAGCTTCAGATGTAGGCCACTTCAACTAGTAGGTCTGCAAACAACACAAAAAGAGAAAGAGCTTAACACCCCTAGCCCAGGTATATTCATTCTCACATTCTCATTCTCATTCTCTCTCTCTCTCTCTCTCTCTCTCTCTCTCTCAATTGGAAAAGATACTTGGGTGTACACAATGAGCATCAATCCTTGTCAACTGTTTAGACCACCTTCATATTATCACTCCTTGTACGTTAATACTAAAGAATCTAAGTCACCATACTATAGCAATACACACATACTCGTGTTTATAATAGCACAACCCACCATAGCCAAACTATGGGACCAGCTTAGGTGCCCATCAATGAATGAACAGACACACAGTGAAATTTTGTTTAGCCATAAAGAAATATAAATTATGTCAGAAAATCAAGGAYTATATGATTTCTCTCAAAGGATGAAGGAAAAGAAAGTTAGGAGACATCTCAGATAACCACAGGGTGATCAGTAGAGGAAAAAGCCCAGGAGGTAGAGGAGGGGAAGAAAAAGGAAAATACTACCGGGGAACAATATCAGCCAAATTATATTGTTATATTGTGTGCAATTAGGTAGTAAATTCCACCAACTATGATGCACCAATAAAAACATGCAGAAAAAAGATTTAAAACTGAAAAAAAAGTTACAAAGCCATTTGGTGAGTGAGAAGTGCCCAGCTTCTCTCTAATTGCTGGTGGAAAAYTGTGATGGCTAGCCATTTTATGGAGATCATGCCKCAGTCTGCAGTGCTGGAAGAAAGTATATTTTTACTTCATCCCACCTAGAGGTACCAGCAAATAATATTGCACAGAATGCCATTGATATAGCAATATGATTAACCTGTACAGCGGGATCCTGGTTAGCTGAAGGCTGCTGACCATCCTCTTCCCTCATCATTGGCAATGGGAGAGGAATGGAGCAGAACAAAGTGCAAGACACTGCCAGGGAGAGCAGCAAGTGGGGAATAATCTAGAACAAAAGCCAGCCATTGGCTGCAGCCACCTGGGCCCCAGTTGTCAGCTGAAACTAGTAGTGGTCCACTGTCACATGCAACCCATATTAAATTGCTACCATGTGTGACCCATAAGTGCACTGCTGCATGTACCACCAGTCATGTCCACCTATCCCGTGCCTTCATCATGGGTCACCCAGCAGCACAGCTGCCCAGTGGCTGTACATTTTCCATAAGCTGCCATGTCTCTCACACCTCAAAATCTTCATGGGCAAACTCACACCTCTTTTGGCATCTCTGGCCCTATAAAGCAGTTCTGTAGGTGGGTACACAAAGCTGCAGTACTAACCAGGGAGAAACTTGGCTGCTAAGCCACTGATATTTAGGAGAAATTTCCTCTGATTAAAAAAAAGACTAGTAATTTCTCAGGCCCTCACTCCAAAGAGTAGAGGGATCCTCTGAGATTGGTCAGAATGAGGTTCTGGGGGATAAACTAAATATACATCTCCCCAACTCAGTGGGGACATAACTGGTATGGTTTCCACCTCTATGTCCAGAGAAACTTTGAAGATAAACCAAAGAGGCATGGGCATGTAATGACCCTTCTATAACCTTACAGGATTCAAGTCTGGATGGCCCAACGGGAAATCTCTCCATTTCAACTCAACAAGGAATGAATTAAGACTCTCTGAAATACCACCTCMAATGTCATTATCTTCTAGGTAGATTTTGTAGGTCATTTGATATTGCATGTGTTAATCCAATTTTATAAATTTCCTTTATAATTTAATGTGCTAATTGGATTTATGTTTTATAGTTTTTCTTATCATCTATTGTAAATTCTCTTTAGTTTTTGTCTCTCCTTTCATTATTTACTCTGTCTCTTCCACCACCATTTGTCTTTATCCTTTCTTTTTTTCACATTTATTCCCTATAGAGTTTATTCATCTTATTTTCTTTAATGCCTAATTTTTCAGCCAGTTGTAGAGTATTACTTCATCCTTACACATTTGGATTAGTGGAAATGTCAAGTCATTTTCTGAAAGCTTTAAAATGGTTTATTAGTATATGGGTTTGCTCTATAGTGTTCACAGTCACTAATGATTATTATCTCCTCTCAAAGTGGCRTTAGAAACTGAACATAGCACTGTGATCACATTGAGCAGGAATTTCACCTTCAGTCTACCCACACCTCACAGCACACAGTAAAAAGAAAAAAGTTCATTGAAAAACCCTCATAACAGTGGAAGAGATGCCCATTGAGGCCCATGAACAAATATCAACATATAAATACTGTAAACAAGTGTCAGAAACACAGTAAAGGCAGTTCTAAGGGAAAAGTTATAGCATTTGAGTGCACACATTAAAAAATTAGCAAGACCCCAAATAAATATCCTAATGATGCATTTCCACAGTCTGGCTGGGCACGATTCACCAGCCGMTTATTAAGCAGAAATGAACTTTATTTTTAGAACACACATGATGCACCACACAAGCTCTTCAGGAATTCCCTCAGAGCCCAACTGCCACCACTGGCTTCCGGTGAGCCTCTCAACCCCCCCACTCCTCCTGCTCTTGAGGCTGATTGGCTGGGTCATGTGGGCAGAGCCAAATGAGTCCCCCAATGAGCAGCTCCATGGTCTGAAAGGGTGGGGAAACAGCCCAATAAGCATCACCACAGAGGAGCCAATCAGCTGGCAGCTGGAAGTTTGCTGGGGCCACTGTGAGCCAATCAGCTGGAAGTTTGCTGGGGCCCCTTCAGCTGTGGCTCTCAACAATGCATCTMAAGGTCTTGGGAAAACAAGAATACATCATTTCCAAAACCAGCAGAAGGAAATAAATAATAAAGATCAGAAATTAATGAAATCGGGAATAAAAGAAGAATACAACAGATCAATGAAGGAAAATGTTGGTTTTCTGAAAAGATAAAAAACTTGACAAACCCTTAGGCACATTAACCAAAAGAAAGAGTAAGAAGATCAAGAGTAATAAAAGTAGAGTCAAAAAAGRACCTATTAAAACAGATACCACTGAAATCCAGGGCATCATTAGATACAATTTTGAAAATATATATTTCAATAAATTAAAAAATCTACAAGAGATGAACAAATTTCTAGAAACATAGGCCTACTCAAATGGAACCAAGAGGGCATAGAAATAAATAGGCCAATAGCAATTAAAAAGATTAATGCAGGAAAAAGAAACTTTGAATAAAGAAAGTCCAGGACCAGATGGACTCACAGCTAAATTCTACCGGACCTTTAGAGAATAAAGAGTGTCCATGCTCCTCAAAATTATTGCAGGAAATAGAACAGAGGCAAAATTTCCCAACTTATCATATGAACCAAGTAAAACACAAATACCAAAACCAGGTAAGTCCACTTCAAAGAAAGGAAACTCCAGACAAATATCCTTCAGGACATAGATACAAATATTCTTAATAATATATGAATAAACTATATGCAACAAGAATTTAAATGATTGTTCATCATGATCAGGTGGATTTCATTCCACGGATACAAGGATGGTTTCTTATATGGAAATCAATACTTATAATACACCACTTAAATAGAATCAAGAGAAAAAAATCACATGATCATCTCAATAGACTCAGTAAAAGCCTTCTACAAAATTTAATATCCATCCAGGACAAAAAGCCTTAAACAACTAAAAATAGAAGGAACTTATCTTAAAGTCATATATACGATATATGACAAACCCAAAGCCAACATCATGCTGAATAGGGAAGAACTGAAACATTTCTTCTAAAATCAGGATTATGACAAGGAGGCCAATGATTTCCACTCCAATTCAATATATTATTTTAAACTTCAGACAGACTAATGCAACAAGTGAAGGAAGTAAAATGGATACAAACAGAAGTCAAATTATCTGTGCTGAAGATGATATAATTTTATAACTTAGAAGATTTTCAAAGAAAATATGGTATATACACAGTGGAGTTTTATTCAGGCATAAAGAAGAATGAAATTATGTCATCTTGCAAGAAAATGGATGGAACTTGAGAGAGTTAAGTAAAGGAGGTGAAACTCCTTTAGTCAAGGATMATATTTGTTTTCTCATATGTGGAAGCTAGAGAGAGTGAAGATGAAGAAAATGTGGAAAGTAACTTTAGAAAAATAGAAGTGAGGACAGTACAGTAGAAAAAATAGATAAGGGGGATGGAGGAAAGAAGTGAAGGGTGAAATACTGGGGGATTAAGTTAACCAAATTATGAAATGTGCATGTATGCATATGTAACAATGAATCCCACTATTATGTAAGATTACAATACACCAACAAAATATTTTTTGAAAATCCCAGTGGTGTTATTTTTCACAGAAACTTTTAAAATCCTAAAATTCATATGGAACCACAAAATACCCATGATAACCAAARCAATTCTGAGAATAAAATCAAAATTGGAAGTGTCACTTCCAGATTACTATTATATTACAAAGCTATAGTAATCAGAACAGAAGGATACAAAATGGTATGGTATAAATATTATGGTAAATGACATAAAAACAGACACATAGGCCAGTACCACAGAATAGATAGTCCATAAATAAATCCAAACTTATATGACCAACTAATTTTCTACAAAGGCACCAGAAGACACAATGGACAAATGATAGTCTTCCCCAAAAAATGTCCTGGGAAAGCTGTATTTCTATAGTCAAAATAATAAAATTATGCCTTTCTCTTATTCCATACAAAATGCTAACTCAAAATGAATCAGCAACCTAAACATGATACTTAAAATGCAAAATCCCTAGCAGAAAACAGGAGAAAGTCTTCTAGAAATTGTTCTTGGTGATGGTTTCTTGGACATCCCACCAAAAAAAAAAAAAAA